AAAAGCGTTTTTAAAACTTAAATATAAATAATAAAATATTAGTTGTATAGAAGTTCACATTTTGGAGAAAGAGTTTAATTCACCATAAGTCGAGTTGAATTTTACCACAATGCCATGAGTATATTTAAAGTTTACATTAAAGTTGACTCAATGTTGACAAAATGTAGCCTCATTCAGGATGTGCTACGGGATAAGAACAACTTTTGGGAAGCACGACTAAGTGAAATTCAAAATAGATTTGAAACCTATTTATATTATTGTGAGAAAATGCCACTGACTCATTTATTAACTAATGCAACCGGGGGTGAAATAAACTCTTATTCAAAATTTTGAAATTCTATATAACTAGTATTTTATTCGTATAAGAGTAGGGTTTCGAGACTACCAGTAAATCAGTGTAATGAGATGTATTCACCTTATTTCGTGAAAGGTGATGAAGGACTGGTAGAAGAAGAATTTTCCCACAATGATATGAGTAGAGCTGACGTTTCCATTCAATTTCACATAGCCACAAGTAGTTTCCATTTAAATGTCTAAACTCATTCCTCCTCTTCAGGTTTTTGATTTCTATCGCATCCCTAATCTTTCGCTTACTGGAGGCAAAGAATAGGACATCCAACCAAAACATGAGATGCATAAGTGGACCAAATTGGAAGATAAAAAGGAAGTCGGTTTGAAGCCGGCCACCTTTCTTGCCTTCATCTTTTTAGTGAATTTACGTGAGACATGATGTCCTGCTCTAACGTGCTACGTCACATGACGGACGAAAGTTCAAGACGGATTCATCGGGGTTGCATGGCGGTGCGCCGAGGACCTATTCGCACAAATCTACAACCACAGCACAACCCCCCAGCCTTCGGTGGAACCAAGTTACGAATCCCTTCCACTCGCCGCTTCAAATAAAATGAAAGGTACTCAAATATGAATCTATTAAGGGATTCTTCGAAACGCAGTTTTTCAACATTTTGTTTGAAGGACATAGTGAAATATTTACACCGAAACACGAAGGAGGATTGCCTTAGAATGGGGACCTTTTAGATTGTTTCGTTAGTTTTCTTTTTCCGGCAAAACCTATTCACGAATTCAATCTGTTCTTCGAAATTAAAAGTCATGTCTCAATAAGTCACTAAATGATTCATCTAAACCCACTTTTAATCATTTACATCAAGGTTTCGAAACTATCAGTAAATCTGGATTCAAAGCTTAGTCACCCTGAATTGTGTAAGGTTAAGCAAAGACTGATGGTGAGTTTTTTCTACAATAATATGATTAGACCTCATGATGACAATGAATCTCACTCAGCCTTGTTCCTCAAAGACAGTATCATCCAAGATGGACTCGTCTATTCTCATCCTCGCCCCCAGTAGGATTAGATACTGGGTTGTTAGTACAATCAAACCTGAACATAATTGTTGAGCTTACTTCCATTTCGAGTGG